ACACTTGAAGTCCAGTTCAAAAACAAAGGAAAAGTTGTGCTCTATTCAAGCTAATATGGGCATGCCCCAAAAAACCTTGTTCAAGAGGTCGAAACCAGATGGAACAGCACTTATTCCATGATCCATAAGCTTTATGAGCAGAGAGAGCCTTTAGGGGCAGCCCTGGCATCACGGAAATAGTGCCTTTCACTGCTGATGAATATGCAGCAATCAACCAGTGCCTGACAGTTTTAAGGCCATTCTATCAGCCACCTGTTGAGCTTTCTGAGGAAAGGAGAGTCTGGGTCAAAGGCAATAGCCAAAATGCTCAGACATGTCATTTCTGTTGAATGTGCCCAAATGGCTCCTTGTGTTGGTGCCATGCCTGCCAACCATTTGAAAAATGATTTGAATGAAACATTCATTGGCTTGGAAAAGGTGAGCTTCCTGTCTGTGGCCACCATCTTGGATCCACAGTTTAAACAGACTGGCTTTACTAATCAAAGCAATGCTCAGGCTGCTGTAGAAAGGCTGACACCAGAGTGTGCCAGTCTTATTGATGGGCCAGCAGAAGATGTGCCACTGGAGACTGCAACATCTGCCAGTGCTGATGAACAAAATGACAACTTGTGGGCTTTACTGGACAACTATGTAGAGTGAATTACTGTTGATGTTGTTGTTACTGTCATTCCTTGTCTTACTGTCTGTGTCATAGATATTTGAAAGAACAAATTCTGACAAGAGCAGAGGATCCCCTGAAGTACTGGGTGGCACAAAAGACTTTATATCCTACGCTGTAGAAACTTGCATGCAAGTATCTGTGCATCCCAGCATCATCTGTTCCCTGTGAAAAGATATTTTCCAAAGCTGGGGAGCTGGTCAGCCAGAAGAGGAGCTGACTGAAGCCTGTGACAGTAGAAAAAATTTTTTTTCTCAATAAAAACTTGTGAAGACAAATAACTTGTAACTTGCTCTTGTAAATAATCATTTCAAATCAACCATACAAGTCCCCAAATGACAAACCATTATCTTTAAAGGTTTTCCTTTAAAAATTCTTCTCACACACACACCACACACACACACGCACACACACACACACACACACACGCACACACACGCACACACACACGCACACACGCACACACACACGCACACACACACACACGCACACACACAACACACACACACACACACAGACCCAATGGTTTTGAATTCGAACACCATGATCATTTGCAAAGTAGGACGGGTCTCTAATCCTGTTAGTCCGATTCCTTATATACTTTTGTCGGAATTTTTTGGGGATTTGCTAACCTATATATTTTTGGAAACTTATAGTATATGGAGTCAGAAAATCAATGTTTGCATTTGCCCAGATGTCTTTATGGCAGCCATATTGAATTAAAAAAAAAGGCCACCAAAAATCTCTTTTTGGAATATCTCAGCCTCTGAATAAGTTGAAATGTTGATTTTAACTGCTAAACCCACATTTTCAGGGTCAGGGAATCAAATGGTGCTAGTTACAAAGCTGTAAGACCTACCCACATTAACCCTTAGATGAATAAGTGGGTCAAAAATGACCCGGTTTGGTTTATTGCAATTTCATTGTAATATTTGCATGTAATACTCCATGTTCCTCCAAAAAACATGTTTTTTTAATTATCCTGTTGAAATACTTCAACAATATGGGTAAAACAAACTACAAACATCACATGCAGTTGGTCAGATAACTCAAAGAGTTTAAAAGTAGCCAACATAAAATGTGTATGTTGGATGTCAACAAACACATTTAGACACAATATGATTATGCAACCTTTTTATTAGACATTTTCTATACATCATCAGTATCATCATCACTTTCATACAACCATAGACTGTATATATGAGTGGACAGATCTAACACTGTAGCCACCATGTGCCAAATAGGAAGTTCTCCAGGAGGCTCTTCCAGCTCCTTCTGACTCTGGCTCTGACTTACATTAGGATCTTGTGGCTCCTCTCTCTGTACCTGCTGCTGTGAACCTCGACATTTTGGTCTTAAAATGTTTATATGAACCCGTTCTACATGATCCTGAATTTGTTTTTTGTTTTTGCTCATTTGTCCGTCAAAAAAATCCTATTCATAATACAGTGTCTGACTCCAGATTTGCTCCTGTAACAGGGAACATCTCAAGCTTCATTTGAGCAGCGCTGAACTCTGTGGTCACACTCACTTAGTCCACTTCTTTTATACAGTCTATACAACAACACGGCTTGGGAATCATCATCATTCTGGCACTGGCTCCTGCACTGACACATGTCGGTACAGGATAAACCTTTAGTTTCTGGTGTGCAGTTCTGCAGTCACCTTTGTACTTGGCTGTGGTGAACCGTGGACCTGGACCCTGGGCCTTCACTAGGATCAATTTCTGGCCATCATGACATGAATTATTTAAAGAAAACTAAATGAAGCAAATCGCACATGCACTTATATCATATATTTGTTTAATAAACATTAGTTACTGTTCAGCAAGATGGACAGATCCACGGCCATCCGGGCTCCGAGTTCCATGGGCTCCGAGCTCTGCCGGCCCCGAGCTCTGGCCTGGCCATGGGCTCCGAGCTCCGGTTTCTGGGTCGTCCAAATAGGGGTGTCCTGCTCATTCTTGATGCTGCGGTCTCGCTTATATTTGCTATCACAGGGTATTCACAGAGGCCCTGAAGATGTTGTGATATGATCCGACCATATATATACACCCATATTGTTCAACGCCGCTCAAATGAGGCTCATGATGTTCACGGTTACAGGAGTGAATATGGAGCCAGGCTTTATATTATTCCATTCCATTTCTTCCGCTTATCCGGGGCCGGGTCGCGGGGGCAGCAGTCCCCTCATCACACACACTTCCTCCAACTCCTGCAGGGGGACCCCAAGGTGTTCCCAGGCCAGCCGAGAGACATATACTCCCTCTGCTCCCTCAGTCTTTGCCAGATTGTCAACCTGTAAAGACAGACACTCAAGCTCCTGAAAACCTGAAACCTGAAATCCCTGTATTCCCTGAATCTGTTCTGTTTGTGACTTCTCCAATTCTGTGTTTCCCTGTTTGTTGTCCCTGTTCCTGAGTTTACTCCCAGTCTTGGAAGATATTTTCATTCACACTTAATATCATAGATTCCTCTGTTATATTTTCAGTCTGAGTTGTCATTATAAACATTTCCTGTTATAGGACACTTTCTGTTATTTAAATAAGACTTTGTTTGCCTGAGGACTTGTGTTGCATTTGAGTCCAATTTACCGGCGTGATAAGGTAGTTGAATGCTTAAATTCCTGATGTGTGACTTGGTCAGTTAAATACAATCTATCAATGAATCTGCCCAGGGACGACAGGTGGAAATGAGCACTGATGCTACAACCTGGTACAATGCATCTCTCCTGTTAAGGGTCATGTATAAATTGTGCGTTGTCCCTGTCTCAAATAAACTAAACTAAACTAAACTAAAACTAAGTGTAGCTGCATGGTTTTGTTTTAATTCAAGGACAAAAAGCAAGCCATGATAAATATGAAATACATGTGAACTGCTTAAAATGTATGCACAAAAATCATTTTAGAGATGCGCTACTGTGTAACACACCCACATACACACACACTGTTTTCACATTCACATATTGGTAGTTGGTGTGCACAAATCTCCAGCAAGGACTTCTGACACCATCCTCCGTAGTTGTGATTATTCAGGTCACAACATAAGTTTAGAAGCATTTAGTCTTAAGTCTTCCAGTATAAACTCCCATATATCTGTCACTTTATATAGCATTAAAAGTCCTATATTACACAAAACTGACTCTTAAAGAACTTACTTACTTTAAGAAGTAAGCGATGTTAGAGTGTTGTTACCACATCATATCACCATCTCATGTTTGAGTAATGCTGATTTATTACTATGTCTTGTGATGTCATGTAGTGGTTGTGGTAGTAGTTTTAAGGTTAACAGCTACTTTTTACCTATAGCTCAGCAGAGATCGGCAGTTCCAGGATGAAATCGATCCAATGATTCTAGTGAAGGTGTATCAAGTTTAAAAACACTATGGAGAACTTTCTGTATTACTAATAGGGATGGGCATTCGATGAAATTTTCTTCTTCGACGGAAGAATTAACGATCGATTATCGATTAATCATTAACGTTTTTATATTAAAATGATCATCATTATTATTACTATCTGCACTACTAATCTGCATAAATAAATTCAACTTTACGACATATAAACCGTAACGACTCTAGAGCCACATCAGCTGTTTGACATTATAATGTGTTTAATTCAGTTTTGTTCAACTCTCACAGAAACAAAACTTAAAACTGCATCACTAATTTGCATAAACTCAGCGAAGATAAAACTACAGCTCTTGTGTCGCTGATGTGGTCAACTTCTGTTGGATTAAAAGACATGACTCAGGTGAATACAGGTTAGTGTGACCAGATTTGTGTTTGTCAAAACCAGGACACCGTACGGAGGGAGGGAGGTGGGGACTCGTCATCCACATTGAGTGACTCTCACCTGGTAAAACTTTTTCCCTCTGGACACCGAAACATATGTGCTGCTTTATACACTGTGCACATGGACTCACACTTGTCCCGAATGCAACGGAAAGTGTGGAATTTCTTGTACAAGTCATCGTTAAATACACATTTGTGCTTCGGCACGTTGCTGACACGTTGACCGACTGTTTGTGTCTCGCTCCTTCTGAGTTCAGAGACACATGTACAGACCTGTTTGGTCACACTACAGCAACCTACATTCGGTTTGTCGATTAAAATGAACGTAATCGATGAAATTCTTAATGATCAATTATCGATTAATCATGCCCATCCCTAATTACTACATGACATCACAAGGTTGAACAGAGTGTTTTCAGGTTGAGAAAAGGACAGTTTTGTCCTGGTGTCAACAATGGCTAAATCATTATCCTTCTTATAAATGTCACAGTAATCACAGCACAAGTTTGATAAATTAAGATTTCTAGTAGAGAAAATCTCCACACATGCCTTTGGAAAAGACTGACTTTATTTACAGAGAAATGCACAGAAGCCCATACAAACAGTTCGTCTGTCGTCCACATGGCACGTCCGGACCACGGCCTACTGCTGACCATCAATGGCTCTCTCCCTTCTTCCCCACAACCTGCACACAAGCATTCAAATGACATGGCTTTAACTACACATACTGTTCATTTGAAGGTGCATTCATGTTAGAGCTTGACAATATGGGCACAGTTAAAAGTGCACTATGGAACTTTTCATGTAGATGGTCCATCACATGCTTGGCTCCATGGAGTCGTTACTTTGCCAGGAATGTTTCACAGTATGGCATTTAACTTTGTGGAGATATGAGCACGTCCCACAATAAGAATGCATGTTTGTAATGTATTTTTATCAATAACAACATGGGTCATTTAAGATAAATGAATGCCCTAGTGTGTAATAATGCAGCAATAATAGCTCCATGGAGGGTATTGTGTCAGACTTCCATCAAGTTACACAGTGCACCTTTAATATCCTTCAGTGGAAACTAAAGTAATCTGCAGTTTGTGATACTTCACACTTCCAAACGATTGGTTACCACCTGTCACTCAAACCACAATGAAGACTGACCAAAAGAGCTCAAAAATCCTGCCACTTCGAAACCTGCTGCAGTTTCAAAAGACCATTTTCCATAGAATTTCAGATATTAAAGTACACCTATTGTGGGAAAAACAACCATGTTACCCCTCATTTACTCACCCAAAGTTGTATTTGGAGTTATTTAGTATGTTTGAGCAATCCTTAAATCGCTTATTTACAGGATACCATTTTGCCAATCAACTCCTGTTTTCACCACCACCAGCACACGTCTAGTGTTTTATTTTCTTTATCGGTGCTACATGTAGGATTTGTCAGTGCTGCATTGTCATTTTGGTACAAATGAAAAAAATCTGTATCAGCTCCCAATGGGTACTGCAATTTTCTAATGCAGAAGTCAGAGGACTTGTTTCTTTTATTAAGTCATTTAAGATCAATATTATGATTTAAAATAAAAAATATAAACGGTATAATACAACAAATAAAAAAAAATATAACATAATGATCATGATATAACATAATGATCTATGGGAGTTATAGGTCTTCTTTAAGAGTTTAAGAGGCAAGACAGAGGCTAATACGGTTGTTTTTAGTCCAAAAAAACACATTTAAAACTTCAAATCTGGTCAAGTGTTGGGTGTTACTGCTGCATATGTGCTCAGAATACTGTTGCTAATATTATGGCCCGTGTGCGTGCTCAGTACCCGTTTGAAGTCGTTCATGTTGGTGGCCTGGACTGGTGTTCCGATAAATGTGAGATAGTTGATTTTGGTCGTCTCTTCATCTCCTTGATTTGACTTTACAAACATCTGCAGAGAAAAATATGGACAGAGATTCAGAAGAGACACATGGCAGCATTAACAGTCGCTTCAAGTCCCTTCTGCTGACCACAAGTGTATTTCTGAATATTGCTTTATAATGATCTTGAGCTGTATCAGAACAAGTATAAGAGCACATGGACAAGTATAAACCCCTGGACCACTATGAAACCTACCTGCAACACTGAGGGATTACACACATACAGATATAAGACCACATGGGAAGAGAGAAAAAGTACTACCATTTAAATGAAAATCACATTCTACTGTCTAAATCAGGAGTGTCCAAACTTTCTTTTTAACACTGCGTTTTAGTTTTGAGTGCCACCAAATAAGACTTGGAAAAGGATCGGACTGCTCAACCAACGTTCGGATCACTCTGCCAACTGAGCTATTGAAATGGACTTTGAAATATTAGTATAGTGACAACACTGGCCCCTCACCGTGACACTCTGCACATTCTGGAACTTGACGTAACGCAGCGGTATGAGGCCTTCGTCCTTGTAGTCTTCCTCACACAGCTCCAGGCTCTGAGTGGCTTCACTGTGCTCAGCGTCATCAAAGTCCATGGAGCGAGGCAGGTTAATGAAAAGCTTCACCTGTTTAGGGGCCTGTGCTGTGGATAGGCACAGAACACGCTCATACCACCAACATGCAGCAAGTGTCTCTCACATCACAGCAAACACATGTACATTATATTATCTAGATGGAAATCTAGGAAGTAAAATGTCCAAATGAAGTAAAAAAAAAAAAAATCATTTTACTTGCTTTGGACAATAACTGGTATTAAGCAACCATAATGGAAGTAAGCTCTTCTGATTTACAACATAAAAATAACATTTTATTAAAGAGGAGGTATAACACTTTTAATTGCTGACACATAACATATTTAGATCACCATGCTAACTTATTGTTTTGAAATAGATATTAACATGTTTTATAAGTCAGCTCACTTTATTTTAGATGAATATTGCAATTTAAAATGCAAATTATAACATTATGACCCACGTGTCCATGGGATTATAACAATATAGCAGACACAAGCACAATTGGTCTTTTTTTTTTACGAAAAATGTATTCCTTTCACGTAAATTGTCTCTGGATTTTAGAAGGAATTTTGTGTATTAATGCCATGGATGGAGGGATTTTTTTTAGAACTCAGCCCTACTATCTTTAAACTTTTCTTCACAATCTGTCCACTTGATTAAATCCTTAGCAAATAACAACATAATGACATAATTAGAAAAAAATTAAAGTCTGTCCTATGCACTTGAACAGCACTGGAGGCTAACACAAAACTGTAAGCAGAGGCCTTACCGAAGTCCGAGCACTGCAACTTCATGGAGAAGAGTTTGACGGGCTGACTGAAGGCGATGGTGATCAGCAGCTGCACAAACACAAGCACCTCATGTTAACAGGGGGACCACAGCACAGGGACATTCAACAGGCCATTGTACTTTCTATCATTCTGCTAATGATAATAAATCGTTTTTTGCTTTAGTTTCACAGGTGGGAAGGATGGCCTAAAATTGTACTTAACTAAGAATAACGTACAATATTACTCAGGTATAAGTATTGGTCCAAATTGGTCCAAGAAATTACTCAAGAAAAAAAAAAAGTATTTGGGAAAAGTACTACTCAAGTAAGAGTAACTTCAAGTGTAACTGTTGGGGTGAAACATTTGATTTATTGACCAATATTAAATTAATGTAATTGGAAAGCTAAAACCTTAAATATTGTACAAAAATGAGACAAACTAAATCCTCTCTGAAGAGCGGTGAAGAAACACAAATGTTCAAATAATTTAATATTGTCAACATAAAACTTTTGTCACTTGTAGACTTGGTCACAGTGGGAAGATTAAACAGAGTAAGAGTTCTTCAGTAGAAATATTACTCAAGTAGGAGTAAACGTATGCTGATAGAGAAGTACAATTTACTTAAAAAGTTACTCAAGTAAATATAACAGAGTAAATATAACAAAGCACTACTCTGCTTAGCTGAAGTTCATGTATCGCACAGAAAAAAAAGGAGCTGAATTATGACCTTGTAATTTGTATTTTTTTGGTTAGTTTGCTTAATTTCTTCAAAACAGTTATAGCGTTGAGAGTCAGTGTGATGTTACTTCATCAGCTAATTGAAAAATATTGGACACAATTTATAAATTCCTCTCACAGTCACTCAATGTTAACAAGGTTTTAAGTATAACAGAAAGTGTACAAGGTTGAGCTGAAAAGCTAGGCTAAGATAGTTGTAGACTAAGATAATATGTAATTACTACATTATTTTAGTGCTGTCATGCGATTAAAAAAATTGAGAGATTAATTAATTATGATCTGTAATTAATTAATCTAATTAATCTCATTTTAATCTCACCTAAAAATTGCTGAGAAAAGCCTTCAATTTGAGGTATTTTCATTTAAATTCATTATTACATTATTGTGGCAGATCAAAAGACTGATATAGATTTAAAAAAGTGACTTTATAAAGTCATTTATTGTTTAACAAATCTCTCCAAATCGGCTGTTGAGCCCAAGTCTCCATGAATAAGAAACTGTTTGCTGTAAAGTAGCAAAGACGAGGAAATCTGAACATAATAACTTTTGTCTACTTAAAGACAATAAAAAGTCCAGTCTTTCCTTAACCAGATTAAAAATATTATTGATAGAGAAATGCTTTATATATGAGATCACTGGTTTTAGTTCTGGTTTAGTTCTGGTTTAGACCTGGTTTAGTCCTCATTTAGTCCTGGACTGGATTAGTCCTGGTTTTAGTCTTGGTGTTAGTTCTGGTTTAGAGGCGCACAGGAGGAAGCACGGTTTACGCAGTGTACGCGAAAAAACACGATCCACACGCGGCTCACGGGAGCACGTCGGTGTCTACGGAAGGAAATGTGGTCCGCACGTTCTCAGGTTAATGACGATGATGAAGGTGTGTTTGTTTGTGTGCGTTTGTGTGTGTTTGTGTTTGTGTGTTTGTGTGTGTGTGTGTTTGTGTGTGTGTGTGTTTGTGTGCGTGTCCCCTCATGTGGCAGGTCACTATAGGACAGTAGTGCAGACATAGTGCATGAGTGTATGCAGGTTGTTTTCACCAGTGACATTTAAGTTGTAGGCGATATTATATTAGTTATTTTCTTTTATATTTCACATCGGGAGAATAATTTCCAAGACACAAATGTGTTTTTACCTGTGCACTGCTGGTTCTGTTCTACTGGCTCTTCGACCTCGTCCATTGTGCGACTGACGCCGCCAACGTTAACATGATGTTTACATCGCACTTACTGCGCGCGTTTTGTGTGGGTTTCCGGCAATGAGTGGAATTACCGAAATAAAAAAATGTATAAATGTGTTTTTTTTGTGTGTGTGTTGTCCCAACAACACATAAAAACTGATTTTATAATAAAGCAACTCACTTACAGAAACACTAAAATTAGAGATTAAAAATGAGATTAACGCGATTAAAAAACATAATGCGCTAAATATGACTGTAATTAATTAATCGCAATTAATGCGATAATTTGACACCCCTACATTATTTACATTTCTGTTACAGCTTGTGATTACACTTATGTTATGTACAAGGAAAGTGTCTCTTGTTTGAGCTAGAAAAAGCTAGAAATCAGTTGTAAAAAAAATCTCACAAGCTCATTTTTCTCATGGAAAATTGTCTCATAAGATCTTGTGCCACAAGATCTTGTTCTTTCCCTACTGGTGAATATCTAGTTAATAATAAAGGTCTTTGAATCTGCTCAGGCCTAGTAATCTCCCACGCATTTTCCAATGTAAATTTCTCGGATGTTAGAATTTCAGCAAACCTTCCAATTTGAATGTACTTCATAGACTTAAAATGACTGCTTTATAGGATAATAATTACCATGTAGGTGGTTAGCCTCTGTCGTGCCTTTTAACACTTAATATCTGAATTTTTTGTAAAATGTTTATGGGGAAAAAAATGAATAGAACATGTACTTCCAGAACAGGTGGTCATAATAGAGCCCCATTGCGCAGGTGTGGTATAGTCATATGGCCCTCTAGTGGTCAGAGCGCTTACCTGCTCATCACAGTCAGACTCAAGGAAGGAGGCGTCTTTGGTCAGGCAGTTGTCGAAGCCGCTGTCGTCGCTCTCGTTCAGACACTCACAACCGGCTTTATTCACGAAGGGCATCAAGTCCATCTGAACCACAAACAACAGAGACCTTTAGCACGCCTGTACTTCTGTTTAGAAGGGCTTTTAGGTCTATAGTATTTCTGTCATCTCTCATTCAAGAAAGAGATACTCAGACCTTTACCCCTGTTTAAAATACTGAATTATGAGCTAGAAATATGATTGCTGTGTAGATAACTAACATGTATGTAGAGCCTATGTGTAAAACCACCCAGCACATTTTCAATTACATAGATGTGAATAGTGGATGGAGCTAGGATTCAAGATTTTGATTTAAATTTCAAAAGAAAAAAAAAACTTCTGTGCCCTCAGATACAAGGAAAACATGCTCAAATAAAGAATAGGCCACCATTACAACTGTTAATAACAAAAACATTGGACATGATGGCCAACATATTTAGGTTATAATTTGGTGTTTTGGTTCTCAAGACAATTATCCAAACAGAAAACAGAATGAGCCTAAAATGCCCCTCTCACCTCTGAATGGTCACTACCTAAACACCATGAGAAGAACTTGTATGTGTCCCCCGACTCTAAGTTAAGGCACTTACTTTTTTTTTTTTAATTTAAAATATGGTTATGCTTTAGGTTTATTACGTCACTGGCATGAAGTCTTAAAATCATAATATGGTTACATGAGTTACTGCGACAGGCCTAGATGTGGCTAAACTCTCCTAGCACTAAACAAATCCCAAATGCACTGACGTATCCTTTGGGAATGTCAGAATCCTCATTGCTGCCTGGGTCATTCTCGGTGTGCTGTCTGATCTTCTCCTCCAGCCCGTTGGCGTCGGCACCCTGGTACTGGTCCACCCTCACGCGGTTTCGGAAGAACAGGAAAGTGGGTGTGGCTGAGATGTTGTTGGCTGCTGCTGTGCCCTACACATACACACATATATACACACATATATACACACACCAAGGTCAGTTCAGTACAAAGAAGCTGGACAAGCAAAGGACATGCCAGTGGCACTAAGGCCTACTTTCAAAAAGACTATGTCTACTCTCTGCAATGTTATTTAATTTGCTTCTCTTGTTTAGTAGTTGTCAGCACGGCTGGTATTAAATAAAATTTTGTACTGGTAGAGATGAGAATTCCACTATATATATAACTATTGGGTTTGTCCAGTTGCTGTGTACACTTTTGCATTATGTTTGTGCATATTTATGGTGAATTGTCATGCGGGAGCATGGGTGACGTAGGCTTGTGGGATGAGCATTGTACAGAATCTTACAGCTAACGGTAAGGAGGGCTTCAATAGGGCCTGGAAGAGATAGCTAAAATACCCACACATGCATGGGTGATATCTAAAACCTCTTCAGGCATGCTTTTGATGAAAGAACAACGTTACAACAAGTTACAACTACTACTCCAATTCCAATTAAAATTTCAGTATTATGCCAACGATTGGGTAGGTCAAGCCAAAACAGGCCGCCAATCCACATCTAATCTTGTTTTGGTTCATAAATGTGTACACACAGACACACTGGCTTCACCACCTTTGTCTCTGAGCTGAGTTTAGGCTTAGAGAAGTCAAACTTAAAGCTATATCCATCAGGCATCAGTGTTGTCATCTGTACTCACTTGACAGACGTGGACATCCACCTCCAGGAAAACTACTTGTGGATATTTGTTGCTCAGCATGGTGAAGGCAGGTGCAATTCTGACACAGGGGTGGCACCTGACAACAAGAAGCAGAGAAATCATATAAAGGAAAGGACAGAAACCAAAACTAACAAGACATGATTTGACATGATAAATATCAGAATTAAGTAAAGAGTGGATGCTAAATAATTACCCAATATACCCACATGTCAGATGTAAATGACTGGGTCTAAAGCAGCTCTTCAACCACCATTATGTCTTTTAGTGAACTCTTATACTCTTATGTAAAACACACTTCACTGGAGCAGAAGATTCATACCTGCTTGTTTTAGTAGTGATGCTTTCAAAAATTAAAAATAACTAAATAAAAAATAAAAAACTTTCTTGTGTTTGGTGTAACATAGTTTGATGTCCTCCACTCAAGTATTGCTATGTCATCCTATGCAAACAAGCATTAGCGTTAGCACCTGAGCTTCAAAATCAAAACAGACAGGCAGATTAAATTAAAAAAAAATCCACTACACATGATATTGTTATTCATGTTTTGGTACGTGACTACAGTAAAATGACTGCTCCCATGGGGCCACAGAGTCTGTGTAATGCCCCGTGTCGTACTGACAGGCCTCGGGAACAGCTCAGCACTTACCCGGCCATTGTGAACTTCACCACGGCGAGCCTGGAGCCGGCCGCCGCTAGCTCCGGCTGGAAGTCTGGGTCGCTGCCAATTACTTTGACACCGACCATGGTAAAGTGTTGGCTGCTGACCACCAGAGTAAGGAGGCTGTACGGTGCGTGGGACCTGCGAAGAAACCCGAGCTACAAATACCACCGTGTTTTTAGCTCAGCTTAGCCTAGCCACTCTGTTACTGTGTGTGCACAGGCGCATGCGTGCTGAGGAAGTCCCGCCCCGAATCTACTGCAGCCGGCTCTGAGAATGCTGATTGGTCCTGTCATTGGAAGGGCGGGTTCTGTGAGATTTGATTGGTCCTGCCATTGGAAGAGCGGGTTCTGTGAGATTTGATTGGCCACTGTCCTAGAAAAGGCGGGTTCAGAGATTTGTCATGAAAATACGCAGGTAAATTGAAACGGGTAAATTGCGCTAGTGCATGGCTTCCAAAGCGTTCTCATCTTCTCCCATATATACTCAACAAAGAAGAGAGAGACAACCTCTCTCTCTCTCTCCCTCTCTCTCTCTCTCTCTCTCTCTCTCTCTCTCTCTGCTCTCTCTCTCTCTCTCTCTCTCTCTCTCTCTCTCTCTCTCTCTCTCTCTCTCTCTCTCTCTCTCTCTCTCTCTCTCTCGGCCTGGACAAGAGAATTGCATGTGTGTAAAACTTGCCCCATCTGTATCTGTGGTTTAAGTTCTTTCTAAATGAATTGTATCTAATTTAATGGATCAGCCCACTCTAGTTTAGTGGCCCATTCAGGTGTTCAGTGATCTGGTTTGCATGTGATCCAGACTTGACACATGTGCAGAATAAATGGGTTTGTTATTGAAATATTGTGGTCTTACAGGACTGATGTCTCAAGTCATATCTGTATATTCTCTACTGGTTGCTCTATCTTAACCTATTAGGTTGCAGACCACACAGAACATGAGGGTCAAGGTCCTCAGGAGTGACCACCTCACTATAAACTGTACTGGTAATAGTACAATTTTACGTGAGGTGTAGATTTTAAAACATATTATATTATTATACATATTATATTATATACACACACAAAGTATATATGGCCAAAGGAGGAGATACAGACCATAGATGTTAAGACACGAAAGCTCCTGACCATGCATAGTTCCATCCCAAATCCAGCACCCTGAGACTGTACGAGAGCCGGGTGGAAGGAGCCCGAGGACTAGTGAGTGTGGGAACCATTGTCCAGGATGAAACACCCAAGCTCCATGAGTACATCAAGGACAAGGCCCCGACAGATGAAGATGCTCAGAGAATGTCTCAGACAGCGGGGTTCAGAGGAAGAGGTGTTAAAGGGACTATCACGGCAAGCCCCTACACCGGAAAATAACTGTTGCTGATATCAAGAAATCCTACCAATGTCTTGAGAGGGCTGGTCTGAAGGACACACAGCAGTTCATCCTGCTGCCCAGGAGCAGGCTCTGAGCACTTGAGCAATAGAGGCCCAGATCTACCACACTAGACAAGAGGCAAAGAGGCTCCTGAGACAGCACAGAACTGCAGGGTGTAAGATGCAAGAGGTGGGGACTTGCAAGTTGTGACTTTGACTCAAGTCAGACTTGAGTCACTATTTTAGGACTTGAGACTTCACTTGATAAAATAGACAAAGACTTGAAACTTGACTTGGACTTGAAGGTCAGTGGCTTGTGACTTGTTTTTATAAAAATACTTTTCTCTGTACAGTTGATAAATGTGGAGCTGAATTTTACAGGAATAAACTGCAATGTGTCCCTCCCACTTTGGTACTTTGGATGTACTGTGATACTCAAACGTACTACATTAATATACATTACAATACAGTACAATACAGTACAATACAATAATATGCAGTACAACACAGTACTGTACATATGTTATTAGGTTCTTTTTTCAGACCTACAGTTTTGTTTCATACCTGACAGTTTCGACTGCTCACTATCTCTATACTCTAGGTCTGAACAAAGAACCTAATAACATAAAATATCGGAAGACCAAATGAATCTCATTGGACTACAGTAATATAGACAGAGTCTATATCTTGTCTTGTTAAGACATTTAAAAAGGAAAACTAGCATTTCTGCAACTCTTATATATAAATATACCATGACTTTTTAAGTACAATTTAGTTTAAAATTCATATAAATTGCAAAAATCTAAGCTATATTTGGTAGTTTGGTTTAAAGACTTGAAATGACTTATGGGCCAGTGACTTGAGACTGGACTTGGACTTGAATGTCTTTGGTCAAAGATTTGAGACTTACTTGAGACTTGCAAAACAATGACTTGGTCCCACCTGTCTAAGATGCTGCAGGGAAAGCCTACATGGATAAAGCATACACAAAAGTAAAGTCAAATATGTAAAATCACTGATGTCAGAATAATAATGGCTGGGTGCTCCCTTTGAGATAGGGTGAGGAGCTCAGTCACACGAGATGAGCTCGGAGGAGCCAGTTGAGGTGGCTCGGGCATTTGTTCCGGATGCCTCCTGGGCACCTCCCTCGGGAGGTGTTGCGGGCATGTCCCACCTGGAGGAGGCCCCGGGGAAGACCCAGGACACACTGGAGGGACTATGTCTCTGCGGTGGCCTGGGAACATCTTGGGGTCCCCCCGGAGGAACTGGTGGAAGTGTCTGGGGTGAAGGAAGTCTGGGAGTCCCTGGCCCCGGTTAAGCGAAAGAAAATGGATGGATAATAATTCCAGGAGGGGCAGAGGAGAGGGAGAAGACGAAGGCGATGGAAACACTGGAGGAACAGAGGAGAGACAGAGGATGATAAAGGGAGGATGCAGACAGAGTCAAAGGGTTGATGTAGGAGGAGAGTGTCCTACAGTGAGTTTGGTTGAATGTGAAATAAATGTCATTGTTGTGAAGTCTGGACAGTGTCCATCCATCCATTTTCTTCCGCTTATCCAGGGCCGGGTCGCGGGCGCACCAGTCTGGACAGTGTTTATTGATTAAAACATATTTGGTCAGTTTTCAGCAGTGCTCACACATTTTTGTCAACTCATCAGGATTTTGTCACATTTTAGTTAATTCCATCAAATCTATGCATTTGGAGGGTGTTTTTGTACTTTTTTTGTATTATTATTTTTTGGAAATTCAGTTTCTGTGGTTTAAGTAGTAAAGGACATTTAATCTACACCCTGATTTGTGTTGATTTTTTACAGAAATGTATTTTCTAACATTAAAATAGATTTTTTTTTATTGAGATATGAAACTCAAATGTTCATAAAAGTATAAAATGAACTTTTTTTAGATATACTTTAATTGGACACAATGATAAATAGCCTTTATGACAACATACATTTTAAGTACATGTTTTGTTGGTGTAATCAGATTTTGTGTGCCTTTAGTATGTCTGACTTGACAATATAGGAGTCGGGAAATATGCAATTTTTTTTTTTTATATTAGTAAATACAAATTTGCTGGACTCTACACTGCACAGGATTCATTGGGTTAGAGCACTCACAAACTTAACCACAAGGGGGAAACAGAGACCCGTGAAAGCCACTGGAGTGACTCTGTGCATAGGCCCGTATCTCACTGTTTCACTGTTCCATAATTTTCCTCAGTAGCCTAGGCCTACATCCTTATTGTGCATGTGTGAACATGTGATCTCACTTGTGAGTGAATTAGATCTGTCTTGTACAATACAGTGCAATTTTAGACATGCCTAAATACCTTTGAATAGACATTTGAATGGGCACACATGGCCTACAGTCTGCACTTGTAGCATAACTGTTTATATTATCTCAGGCAGTTTGTAAAAGATCAGTCCAAATGGTAAAACATGATTTATGATGCACTGATTTTGAATTTTTTTCTGAAATGAAGCCTCTGCTAATAACAGTCATTGCCTCCATGTGAGAGTCACATTTATTTATGGCAAGACATTGCATGAAAACATGAAAAGCAGGACAAACAAACAATCCTTCCAAACTATCCAAACAATGGATTAAGTGACACCTGTGCTGGCCAGGAGGATAGTGAGAGAAGTGAAAAAGAATCACAGATCACCACATAGGCCATCCAGGTGAATCTGGGCTCTGCTGGTGGAACATCTCAAGCCAGACAATCCAACAGACACGACATACTGCTGGGTTCCACGCAGGCCAAAGAGGACAGCACTTCTCCAGATAAGACACACAAAAGCCCATTTAGACTTTGCAAATGCTCATCTGGACAAAGAAGAAGACTTTTGGTCTTTTGTTTTATGGTCAGACAAAACTAAAATTTAATTGTTGGCCACCATGATGTATTGATGATTTGGCGTAAAAATGGAGAAGCCTTCAACCCCAAGAACACCATCCTCACTGTCAAACATGAAGCCAATAAAGACTTTTCTATTGACTATTGAGAAGGGTATGAATAATTCTGGATATCTATATCTGTCTATCTATCTATATCTATCTATCTATCTATCTATATATATATATACATATATATTATTATAATTATTTTTTCTAATATATAATTTCAAATATCCTGGTTGGCATATACACTATAAAAACACACTTATCTAATTATAGAAACAGCCTTTTGTCCATTATGAGATTAATACATTCATTTTACATTTCTCCTGATTTTGGAGAGTTTAAACCTCATTTAATCAACACATCCTTCTATAAAAATGTGACATTATGAAGCACATGAGTGGAAAATATAGGTTCTTCGTGAAGTACAAGAGGAGTTACAAAACCAACATGGAGGCTGGTGATCAACAGCCTTTTGTGCTCACACGTTTAGTCCTTATGTCTCTGTCAAGACTTGGTCAATCCACAAAATAAAAATAAATTAATAAATACATAAAAATAAAATACAATAAAATAAAAAAGTGAATCACCCAGAATGACATAGACCTGAAATCTAATCTGTAATCTGAAATAGTGAAAGTGTAGGCCTATTATGAGCAAATAATATATTTCATAATATATTTCTACTGACAAAGAAAATCTGGCAAGCTCACAAGAGAGTGACTTAAGTCTTGTCTTTTACTCTTTGGCTGTACACCAAATGAGTTGTGTGGTCCTTTATCTTTATTTTTTATTTATTTATTTTTTTTTCCACAGATTTTTTTTGCTTGTATGGTCTTATTTGATTGGTTGGTTTGATTGGTTTAATGTTTTAGTACAAGTAACTTTAAACTGAGTAATATTGTTTTGACCTGTCTCTGTGCTCAGTAATTACACACATATTAACCATAAATATGTA